GACTCATCATCCCGAAGCTAGAAGAAACTGGTGTCATTCATCCTACTCATAGCCCATACAACTCCCCTGTGTGGCCAGTGAAGAAGACTAATGGCTCCTGGGCATGACAGTTGACTATCGAGAGCTGAATAAGGTTACACCGCCCCTGCATGCCGCCATACCAAATGTCATGGACATCATGGACAGGTTGTCGCATGAACTTGGATGATACCATTATGTGGTGGACTTGGCAAACACCTTTTTCTCTATTGCCATAGCCCCAGAAAGTCAAGAATGGTTTGCCTTCACCTGAGAAGGGCAACAGTGGACATTCCTTGTCCTTCCCCAGGGCTATCTGCACAGCCCTACCTTGTGCCATGGTCTTATGGCTCAAGATTTAGCCACGTGGAAATGACCATCTGCAGCGTCCTTGTATCATTACATTCATGATATAATGCTAACCTTTGATTCTCTTTCAGAACTAGAAGCAGTGGCGACCAGCCTGTGAGAAGCTCTTGCCAACTGGGTTTGGGCAGTCAACGAGGACAAGGTCCAGGGATCTGGGTTCTCTGTCAAATTCTTGGGAGTTGTCTGGTCAGGTAAGACAAAAGTAATACTAGAGGCAGTGATTGATAAGATCCAGGCATATCCCCAACCCAAAACTGTGAAGCAGCTCCAAACCTATTTGGGACTGCTGGGGTTTTAGAGAATGTTTATTCCTCATTGAGCCTCCTTGATGTGACCCCTGCACCATCTAGGGAGACGGGGTGCCCAATAGGATTGGACTCCTGAGGTAGAAGAGGCTTTTAAAGCTACAAAGCAAGCTGTAGCAAAAGCCCAAACTCTACGTGTAGTAGATCTAGCTAGCCCTCCCATTCTTGCTTATGGTGCAGGTGGATGATGCAGGGTTTAGGAGGGCTTGTAGCAGAAGCATAGTTCCCAGAAGGTGCTGATGGGTTTCTAGTCCTAGTTATTGAAAGGCACAGAAGCGTGGTATTCTCTGATAGAGAAGCAACTGGCTGTCATTTATGCAGCCCTTCTGGCCAGTGAGGCCATCACTGGTCCCAATCCTGTAATCGTGCAATCCATGTACCCCGTGGAGGGGTGGCTGTGGTCTTGGGTGAAGACTCCCCGTATGGGAATTGCACAAACCTCTACACTGACCAATTGGGAGGCGTACCTGGAGCAGCGGGTGCAGTTCTCTGCAAGCCCCCTTGTCAGGTCAACTGCACTTTCTATTGGGACCGGTGTAGTTTCAAGCAGAGCTCCTGACAGAACCTGCTGAGATGGGTGATGTACCAAGTCTCTATGTAGAGGGTTGTGCCCTCATCCCCGAGGATGCCTGTTACACAGACAGCTGATGTGATGGGCAGCCCCTGACATGGGCTGCCATGGCATTACAGCTGTCTACAGAAACCTCTGGTATGAGACTGATGCTGGGCAATCCAGCCAATGGGCGGAGCTTTGCACTGTGTGGTTGGTCCTCATGAATGAAACTGACCAGTGCACCTCTGCACTGACAGTTGGGCTGTGTATTGAGGTCTAACTTTGTGGATACCCCGATGGGCTGCCCAGGAGTGGATGATAGGCCACCATCCTTTATGGGGCTGGGGGTTGTGAGAAGACCTCTGGAAATGGGGTTTTCAACAGGGGGCCACTATATACCATGTCCCTGGGGATTGGCCATTACAGGCCCCAGGTAATAATGCAGTCGATGTGCTGGCACAAGTCCTCTCTACCTGTGTACCACCAGTTCCAGCAGACATTGGCCCTTGGCTCCACCGAAAACTGGGGCATGTAGGGGCCCATACTATGCAACAGGTAGTGAAATGATAGGAGCTATCACTGACCCAGGTGCAAGCACGAGTTGCAGTGTTACAATGCCCCTGGTGTGCTGAGCAGCATCCAGAGAGATGGCCGGTAAAGAGTACACCGGAGGTGGTGCCTCGCGGGGCTAAGCCGCTTCAGGAATGGCAAGTGGACTACATAGGGCCTTTGCCCCCAGACTGGGGACACTCCTATGTGTTCATAGGTATGGATATGGCTACTGGTTTAGGGTTTGCATGGCTGGTGGCAGCTGCTGATCAATGCCATACTATGACCGCTTTGGAGTACCTTGTGGCCGCTTATGGCTGGCCTTTATTAATCTCCAGTGACAGGCACTCATTTTACTAGGCAGGATGTGCAGACCTGGGCCCGCATCAATGATGTGCAGTGGCAGTTACATGTTCCTTATTTCCCACAGGCAACTGGAATGTCAGAGCAGTTCAATGCTTTACTGAAGGATAAACTGCGCGCCTTGGATCTGGGCTGGCGCTGCTGGTATACTAACCTCCCACATGCTATAGGCCTTCTTAATGAGCAGCCCCAGCGAACAGGGTTGTCTCTCCTCGATAGGATGGTAGCAGGCTTGCCGCAGGCTATCAAGGTATGCCCGAGCGCTGCTGCTAAACAGTTCTTGCCCCAAGCCTACCAGGGAGCTTTGCTCCTGCCAGCCCCAGAACCTTTGACAGCAGGTAAACAGGACACCTGGTCATGGCCCTAGACTACAGGTAACACAAGAGCCGTGGGTGGCCCTGGTGGAGCCCTGGGGACAGGGCTTACCCAATGGCTTGCAGGTGGATTTGCATTTGGCCTATGCCCTTGTGAGTGTCACTCCCGATGATGGCAGAGGGTTCACTATTAATAGGCAGTTTTGTTCTTAGCCTCTGGCCCACTCTTCTCTATATTGTGATGCCAGTGGAGACTCCCTAGCCCTCTACCCTTGGAGAAACTGTCTGGTACCACAGGCCAGGGGCAGCTCCTCTTCTAGCCTCCCTTCTATCTCAAGATGGACAGGTGGCCTGCACCCTCCCAAAAGGACAGGACTTGCTCCTAATGGTTCCTTTGTCTGCTCTATCCTATCTCCCAGGCTGACAACAGGGGACAGTGTCATGTCCTGGGCTCACATGTTTGCCGCTGTTCACAATGCTTCCTGTACTGAACTACCACTGGAGACGGCTGAGGGATTGCCGTGGCACATTACACTGCTATGGCTAAGAATTGGACGTGGCAGCACATCTGGAACACCACACCTGAATGGGACCAGTGACAGCAGGTTGTGGAAGCGCTGCTCCGCTGCAATCATCTCAACTCCCAACCCCTCATTGTCTATGCCATTTTCACTGAGTGAAGATGGCTGGTGGGAGAACATGTGGAATTGCAGGAGCAAGCCCCTCACTGCATAGAGCAAGTAAGATCTGCACCCAACTGTATCTTGCAGTGGCTACCCCCAGAGCTGTGTGCTAACACCACCCTTGCTAATATTTCCAAGGTCTGGTGGGATGGGTGATGTTGTGTTGGCACAGAGCCTACCGACTGGCTCCCTGCAAGGTATCTCTGGGTCTGCAGGCACTACAGCTGGCCCTACTTGCCCACTGATTGGACCAGCCACTAATTGGACCACTGATTGGACCTGGGGATGCCCCTATTTAGCTGGATGCATATTATCTACCTTGTCCTAATTGCTTTGCAATTAGGATCCCGTATATCACCGCTGGCACCGGCAGCATGATGGTTCTATTCCCTGGCGATATTCATTCCAGGGGTGGGATCCATAGATGTAGAATTACAGATAGAAGCTTTAGCCCAGCACACTACACAGGCACCGAATGCTACACATCAGGCTACAATCCTTTTAATGGATGAAATTATGCAAATGTGGAAAGTAGTTCTGCAAAACTGCATGGCCCTCGACCTTCTAACTGCTGCCAAGGGAGGCACTTGTGCCCTACTCTATGTAGAATGCTGTTTCTACATTCCTGATTATGTCGAGCAGGCACAGGTAGCTCTCCAGGAAATGGATGCCGAAGTCCAAGCCATCCATGCCCTGGGAGAAGACCCCTTGACAACTTGGTGGAATTCCTTGGTGTCCTCCTGGAGGTGAACAGTAGCCGCGCTAGCCCTGGTAGCCTGTAGCCTGGTAATATTTTCTTGTTCTTTATATTGTTGCTATGGATTGTGGGCCCAAAGTAGCGAGTTCTGGGCCAGATCCCGCACGGTCAGATCCCGCGCCGCAACCCTGTAGGGGTGGAGTGTGGGCCCCAGGTCTGGCTGTGATCTAGACTCATGGCTAGGGGTAGAACTCCGGATTTAAAATGTTACATTAATGTAGTAAGGAGCCCACACCTAACTTTTGCAAGTATGACTCAGCTTATTGTTTATTACACATATATGGCAGGATGTCACTATTATTCTCTGATATATATAAAGCCCATGCAATCCAGAAGCATGTGCTCCCTGCAATAAAGTTGGTGCCTGCTGTTTCATTCTCATGATGATTCCTCATGCATTCTTTCAACTGGGCATCTCACCATCGAAGCCTTCCTTTCTTGATCAGCTCGGCTCTATCACCCCCTTTTTTTAAGCAATTTTATTTTACAGTGCTCACCATCTTTTCGTAAAATCTTAGTTCATCTGAGAGACTTTAATCATTTTGAAACTAATAGAGAGACATTTGGGATCTTGATCCCTTTCTCCCAGAAAACTATTGTTTCCATGTAAATTTGATCCACTTCTCAACCACCTCCTACACACACACACACACACTCATTCTAGTTTCACATAACAAGAGGCTCCATGAGTGGTAGGCTTGATTAAGGTCTCTCACTTTTTTTTTTAATTTAACAAACTAAATGGGCACTCAGCAGACTTATAAAAATAAAATAAAATTAATTTAATTAAAATAAAAAAGTTATAGATATCGAATTGGCTATAGATAGTAAATTTTATAAGAATTAACCAATCATATAAATTGATTCCTCAAATATCTGATAAATAAGTAGAATTTTACATTCTCAGAAAAAAAGAACCAAGTTCTTCAACTATCATTGGTATTTTAATTCTGTTTACTCTCTCCCTTGGTTCAAGTAGACAAACTTACATGAAGATTCTCAATGAAGCTTTCAAATCACAAACATGTTTCTGAAAACTCCCTCCATTTACTTCAGAAATGATGTCATTTTATTCTGTTTTCTTTTTTTTTTTTTTGAGTTCAGCTTTTTATTGAACATATTACAGAAGAGGCTTAGTCAAAAAGACCAAAGTCCATGTCATCATCGGACTCCTCAGATTCTTCTTTCTTTGCTTCCACTTTCTTCTTCTCATCAGGGGCAGCAGCAGTGGAGGGGGCAAGACCTTTTGCTGGTGCAGCACCAACTACTGGAGCAGGTCCACTTGCCCCTATATTGTAGATGAGGCTCCCAATGTTGACATTGGTCAGAGCTTTTGCAAACAAACCTGGCCAGAAAGGTTCAACATTTACACCAGCTGCTTTAATGAGGGCATTGATTTTATCCTCCATGACCATCACCTCATTGTCGTGCAAGATAGGGGCTGAGTAGATGCAGGTGAGCTCTGAGACAGAGGCCATGGTGCAGGAGGTGATAGGTGAGCACTGCCAGGCATGGTGCTAGTAGCCAGATGAAGTGAAGGCTTCGCCCCAATTCACCCTTAGCTTCCTCGGAAGGACTGAGCACCTTACCTGCAGCTGAGGAAAGGGGTCTGTTTTCTCATATTGCTCCCATAACTTAAGTATAAATGTGTCTCATGTTCTTCTCCTTGATACCTGTCATAAATTAAAAATTGCCACAAATCCTTTCCTGCTCCTTCCACTGAGAACCGAGGTCTAATTCCACTTCCCTTTGGCTAACCTTAGTTGATCTACCAATAAAATGTACTGGAAACGTTTTTCTGAATCTTCCAAGAATTGCTCATAAGAAGTCTTCTGCCAATTGCTCTTGGAATGTTCACTCTGGGGGAAGTCTACCACCATGTAGAAAGTTCAACTTTCCTGAGACTGACATGCTATGAGGAAATCTAAGGCAGCCAGGTAAAAGGCAGCATGAATAGTGAAAAATGCTCAGCCAGTTCAAGCTTTCAGTCACCCAAGCAGGAGTAAGATATGCAAACTATATATTAGCCATGCACTTCAACAGTCACACTCTTAATCTTGTTTTTACTAATCATTGCAAGCTTTCTATGATCTCAGTTTCATGAATCCTACTCTTTTAACATTATTTCTTGTCTTTGAGCTCATTTCCTTTAATATTTCAATATTAAGGGTCTTTCAGCTACACAAAGACCTCCAAACTATTGACCTATAACATTTTCACTGTCACTTACCCCTGGTAACACTCCTCTCTCCTCCCCCAGCTTAAAATTTAATGTTCTATATTTTTAATTTGACCTCCATTTACTTGATCCTCTTTCTTTCTTCATTCTTGCTTGGCCCAACAATTTTTACCTATTTCAGACCTGTGTGTGAATATGGCTGTAGGAAAATTAACAACCATTCTAACTTATGTTTCTATAAATTCAGAATGATTAACATGAGTATCCCCTTAACATTGAGAAGCAATCAACTATATAACCCTAGTACATTAAGTCTCTTACTCCCTGAACCATTGTTTTATACCTTTTTCTTCTTTTTCAAACTCAGAGCATCTCCTCTTTCATGATTACTGTCAGCCAATAACTTTCTATATCACTGAGGAAATAGAAGATATCAAAAAATAATTCTTACAAATAAATATCATCATGTCTATCCACAAAGCAGCATCTATATTCACATATTTTTCTCTCCTTCTGTCACCATAGTCATGTATTCATGCTCCTACTCAAAATCAATTCCTTCACTTGTGTTCTATGTCCTAGCCTCTCTCGATTTACTCCAGGACTTTGACAATTCTCTCCTCTCTCTTTTAATCACCTTTTTTTTTTTTTTCTGTTAGATGATATATCATCATACAGACATATTATTAGTTTTCTCATCTTAAACAATAAACAAACAGATAAACAAAGATTCTTTTCTCCTACTTTCCCAAAAGCTACAGTTTGATTTCTTATATCATCATTTCAGAATTCCTCTAAAAAGTTGCCTAATTTTAGTATCTTCAAATTCTCTCCTATAGCTACTTCGGTCATGTGTTCAACCAACAATGATCTCATTAACATCATAAGCATACTTTATATTGTTAAACTCAGGAATGATTTTCAACCCTTTTATTACTTGTCCTATAATCTGATGTGCACTGGAGAGTCCTGGTTTATTCTTTTTTCCTTCTAGTGTAATCAGGTCTCTAATTTCATTCTTAGAGCATCCTGATTTGAATGTTAACTGTATAGTCACCTAACTTTTAACAGCATTAACAAAGTTGGTTGATCTTTTCATCCTTCAAACATTTTTTTTTTTTTTACTTGATTTTCTTTCTTCTGGTTTTCCTATTTTCTTAATAACCACTCTTTCTCAGTTTCATTTATTTGTCCCTCCTTTTCTTCACAATCTCCTAATGGTGGAATTTTGGGCTCAGTATGTGGAGTTCTTCTTTTCCAGTAGGTAACCACTGTTGAAATATTTAATGTAAGTACCTAAAAATAAAATGATAAAGTGCTTTAGACAATGATTTATTACATAAGGGAGTCATTCCTTTATGATTATTTCTGCTTTATTTCTTTCCTGTCTTCCTTCTTGGTCCATCTTCCCATTACCACTCATAAAAATAAAATATTTCTAACATTATTGTGGTTAAAAAAAAAGGACACTCAGTGTTCAATCATGAAAATATAAGATCAAGCTCTAACTTGACCAATCCCCTATGAGTGAGATTATTGATACTAAATTCCACCACAAGTTTCCTTTGTAATAATGAGTAAACAAAAATCTTAAAAGAAAAAAATATATATGTAAAATGCAGATTGGTGTTTTGCATATTATGTGTAATGTGCAGCGTCATTCTCTCTACCCAGCATTTTTCATATAATGAAAAGAAAACTGATAGAGCATTGATTGCTCCAAGTACTTTTTTCTCTTTTGTTTATTTTGTTGGTGAAAGGGTAAGAGAGCCTTTAAAAGAGAAACATGTTGGAAAGCAGCCCTCAAATATAAATGTAAATTATAACATTCCCCCAAATTGTAACATATCATTATCTCTCCCATTCTTTAAAGAAAGAAAAACAAGGCTAATAATCATCCAGTTACATATTGCAATAGAATAGTGTTTTTTTTTTTTTTATTAGACTATTATGTTCACTCATTTATGAATCAAGATGTTTAGAGATGGAATGGCCTCTTCTGACCTTTTGGATGTCCTAATGTGAAGGTTGCTTCTCATTATTGGACAACTTTATCGCCAGTAGGCTACTCCCTGTCTACATCTTTTGTATTGCTATTTCTCTACATTTGAATAATAGAAGACTTGCTTTATTCATTTCTTTACTTGAGTCATTTTTTTTTTTTTCTATTCAGGTACCAAATAATTTCATTCCAAATTGGAAAATGGAAGTTCAATATTCATTCCTTCCATAAACGTCTCCATCACAAACCAGAATATCGTATGGTTAGATGCTTCTTAATTCACAATTGCGGTCCATTAACACCAAGACTAAAACCTCTCTATATGCATTAAATTTTTCTCCTTCAGTAGTATGTGATGTTTAGCTAATCTGTCAAAGTATTTCTTTTATCACATTTTCACTGTCTATTTTTTATACAAGACCTCATTGTTGAGCTGCTTTTTATTGATGCAAAGAAATCTTATATGCAATTTCCATCCCATTAACTGTTTGAAAGAGATAATCCACATTCTAACGTTGCTGAACAGTAAACCAGAGCCAGTTCTGAGTTGCTGTCTGCTGTTTTGTTCAGCTTTCTTTTGACCCTCTCTGCTAGTTCAGCCATCTTTCTCTTTAAAGCTTCTACTATTTGTCTAAAGAGATACTGAACTAGCTGTAATTTGTTTGAATGGAGAAATAGTTGGTGTGTTTCAAAATATTTGTTATTAAAAGAGGTACATTCAAATCGGATTTTATCGTATAATTCAAATATTGCAAATGTAGAATACCTGTGCTTATTATCAAACTTGTTGATGAAAACTATAAGTATTATTAAAAACATGAAACTATTATTTAATATTTAATGTCTGAGCTTTGAAATCAGAGAATGTTGGAGAGAGGGGGAAGATGGCAGACTAGGTAAAAGCAGAGTCTGTCTCCTCCCAGGACCGCATTGAAATTACAACCAAATTATAAAATAATCAATGTGGAGATTCACCTGAATTCCAGCTGATCATAACCCCTACATCTGATAATATAAAGAAGCCACATCAAAGCCAGTAGGAGGGCCAAAGTCCAGAATCTAGCTGGACCCACACCTGCAGGAGGTAGAGGATCACCAGAAGGGAAAGCGAGGCTGCAGAGGCATTCTGGAAGGAGAAGGGGTTCCTGGTCTCATCTGGGGGCTCTCCAGCACAGGGTCCCAGCCCAGGGAAGAGGAGATTCCAATAACTCTGACTGTAGAAACTAGAGGGGATTCTGGCCATCTGGGTGAGATGGAAGGCAACTGAACCCCTAGACATCCCTTTGAAAGACCCACACAAAGATTTTCTGACCTGTGGACACTCATCTGGGACAATGGCGGTGGGTCGGAGGCTCTCGTGGGATTCATTCTGAAAAAGTCTCTATTAACTGGAGTCAGAAAGAGGGCTGGAAAGGCAGCCACCATTGTGCCTTAGTCTGGCCCCCCTACAGTCCATGCCAACTTGATTGTGCAGATCTCTCCCACAGAGACATTAGGAGCCACTGATCTGAGGGGATCAACTCGCCCCACCTAACCTTAGATTGCCGAGTGCAGTTGTTTATAGTTGGTTGCCAAGCCCTGAGCTGAGTCATTCAGAGTGAAGTATTCATAGGGTGGCAGCCATTGTTGTGAGCAGCGTTTCTAATCCCAGCAACAGCAGCCAGCACAGTGAGCCTCATTTCAGAGATAACGTCAGGCAGATCACTGCTGCCAACATGAACTTGGGTGCATATCGGGGACTTGCGGGCCAGTCCCAGAAAGCTGGGATCTGGGTCACCTGCAGAAACTTAGAAGAGTTACCAAATTTCCAGCGAAACTGAGGTTGTTTTGATCTGACAGCCACTGTCTCTCTGAGACCTTGCCCCACCCAAACTGCAGACTGCCTGGGGCAGGTATTATTGGCTTGCTGCCAAGCTCAGCTCCAAGTGAATCAGAACCAATGTTCACAACAGAGCGGCCATCATTGTGAGTGGCCTTTCCAATTGTAGCAAAAGGGTCCAGCCCTGTAAGCTACATTTTAGTTCCCAGTGGGTGACCAGTGCTATGAGCCGCATTTCAATGGAAAACATGGCAGAGTGAGAGATGTTTCCAGATCTCTCCCCTTGAACAACAATAAGCTGAACATCTAAAACTCAACAAAAAACACTCAAACTGCACACCAGCATGTCTGAGTGTGGGATCTGCACATAAGAACTGCAAGTACTTTAAGACATTATATAAAGCAAGGATCCAAAAGGCTTAAATGCCACCTACTAGAAACCAAAAGAAAAGTGACTTCTTTGAAATCAGAGAGTGTT